GAGCGCGATGGCGGCGGACGCCGCAGCGGGCGGGACGGAGCGGTAGGGCGGCGTTGGCGGACAGGACGGTCTGGCCGACAGACCGAAACAGGGGGATGGAGAAAGAACCTGTGCACGTGCGGAAAGCTCCCGCGTCCGGCCCGGCTAGCCCTATGCACCGGCGCCAGGCTCTCGGCGTGTATCGACTGTCCTGCCTTGGTATCCGTTGTGACAATAATTTGTGATCAGCTCTTGTTGACAGACGTAGTAAAAGGTTCATCCTGTAAAAGTATAAAGCAACGCAAAAACTGAAAGCCGTGCAGAAAAGCACAAGAAACCAAATTCAGTATACAAACACTAATGAATACCACAAATAAGGTGAACGAGAACACAGAAGCCACAAACACTGCCCCTCCACCCTCATTTTGAAGACTACCACAACATTAGGGTTTGCTGCAAGAAAGGTCAGAGTAAGTCGTAAGTGTGGGTTACCTGTGTCCACATTTTTGGCATAACCATGCCATGCCCCTCTTTCACTTCGGGCATGCACACACTGATCCACTTCTCCCAACACTTGCCCCGCTTAGCTCCTGCTCATTGCCTCAGATCAGACCACAGAGCTGAATGCTGGCAGGCACCAGGGGCAAGATGTAAAAGACACCCCCAAATGGCTCACAGCCTACTGTTCAGGGTTCAGGACTCACAATTTATTATCTAAGGATTTGGACCTTTTAATTTAACTGTAAGCTCTAAACCCTCAACTTCAAGTGTTATGTATGTATCATGGAACCCAAATGATAGCTGGTGCTTTACTGCTTATGGATGAGGTTAGATTTTAAATCCTGTGCCTTGATCAGTATAAGTAAACTGAAGCCCTGATTGACAGATACAGAGTCCCACAGAATAAAGTCATAAAGTGTAACACCTGAGTGAGAAACTAAACAATGAACTCTAAACAACTGACGGAACATGAATGACTGAACTCTCAGTTTTGAGCAATACATGCCACAACACATAAAGGCAGGAAAACAGTAAAAAGAAGCTGAGGAATTTTTGCCTACAGTTTTTCTGAAGTTTCCATTTCCTTTGGAAGTGTAGCAGAACAGGGAGATACACACCAGGAATGTGTTACAAGTGCTGTTTATAGGTCTGATTTTAGCTACCATATGCAAGAATCAATCCACAGGACTGCAGTAAGCTGCACTTCCACTGAACCTACCTGCATCACCGTGAGCACTAACTCATCTACATTAGTGACAACTGACACAGTATTATCAGCCCCTTCAGCTCCATGGTCCAACATCTACAGGCAGCGCCGCTGAAACCCACAGCATTTTAAACCATCTTGCCATTTACCAGCACTCTCAGGCAGGCCTGCCAACAGCAGGACCACCCTCCCCTGGGAGCAGCACGTCACCATCCTGCTCCCGGGCCTGCCTTCTTGCTCCCGGCTCCCTGCTTCCGTGCCCACAGGGCTGACCGCACACCCAGGCTCGTGTCGGGGAGGAACCGGGGCCTGAAAGTCAGGACGCGGGATGGGAAAGTCAGCTCTGCGCTCTGAGCAGACCCTACCCCGCACGCCCCTGCACGGAGTGGGCCTGGGCCAAGAACCCCTTGCCCACAGCCCCACTTCCAGGCAGCCACTGCAGGCAGGAGCCCAAGCTCACCACTGCTGAAGGTCTCCCTCACCTGACTGGTGTCCCTGATCCTCACCCTGCCACGGGCACAGGGTCTCTGCCATGCTACTCCCAGGCACCGCACGGGCACTGGCCACAAATCAAAGAGAACATGTTGCCAGCACCGTGAGGTAAATTGAGACCTCAGACTTTTTTCTTTCCTGTCTCATATTAGATTCCTTGAGCATTAAGGCAGCCTCCTCTGTCTTCTACTTGCTAGCATGCACATAGCACATGCAACTTAAATAACTGCATTAACTATGAAGACTGAGGAATATGTTACTTTAAGAGTTATATTTTTTCCCAAATCTATATAGTAGTCAGAGAAAGTCAAGACTAAAAATACACAACAGCATGTGGTTTTAGCACAGTGCCTCTTCTGTGCAGTGGTTTGCAAATCTAACATCCTTAAATTGTATCAGACACTTTAACCAAATCTTCCAAACCAAACAATTTACAATGGTCAGTATTTAAAAGAAAAGGAAGAACAACTGAATGCTCTTCAAGGCAAAATTAAAATCTTCTGACAAAAACTTCACACAGCAACATAGAAATCAGGATTCCAAAGGGATTTCATCTTGATTAACAGTGCTTTTCCCATCCATTCTTAAATATAGTTGCACTCAAGTCTGCTCATGAAATAAGAAATGTTTATGAGGACAGACTGACTGCAGAGGCCCAGCATCAAAATCACACATGGGCTTCAATACAAATGGAGCTTTGACAACAAATATATTTGAACGCAGCTAATGAAATCTGTCAACATTATACATCAAATCCAGGACACATGGATTAAAGTGGAAGCGTCAAATTCTAAATTCAGTTCCTACAAGGAGCAATGGCTGAAGAGGTTCTGGAGTGCTTAAATGTGTTGTCCAGATTTGGATCTCCTGCTTCCCCACACTGATGGACAGGAATTCCCCTTCCATATGGGGTACATTTTATACTGCATGGGTAAATACAGGGTGGTTTGAAAGCACTTCTTTCCTGAAGTCCTACTGTTCTGAAAGCAGCACTGTTTTTGACACAGGATGGGCTCTTCACCAAAATGAAAAAAGAAAGATTCAGTCCTCATTAACAGGGCAGTTTCAAAAGTGACTATGTCTGTGCATGTGAGTTTTCAAACACATAGATTGGCTAGGAAAATGAACACTTACAAAAATTTAAGCTTAATTTTCAGATTTAAAAAAAAATATTTACAGTCAGACAAGATGCATACTTTTTTCTTGGTATTTCAGCCATTAGTAATGAGAAGGGTAATGTTATCTAAATATTGAATTTTTTAATCATCGTACTAAATGAAGTACAATGTAAAACAATGAAACATACACTGCATGCAGACCCACCAAGAATTGTTCCAACTGATTCCATTCCTTTATTGGAAACTGAATAGAGTAGTAGCTCTGTTAAGGAAAGATGGAGGAGAAAAGATATAACTGAAGCAAAGTGGGGTGCAAAGTATCCTGCAGCATTAGTAGCTGAATGCCAGCCTCAGTGAAAGTGCTGACTGTACCTCACTCCTACGTATCACAATCCACTGGTTTCCTGGGGAGGTCTTGCTATAAAGAAGCTTGGCTATTGCTCCTCTTATTTTCCACAAGTCTTTCTGGGCAATGGTTTCAAGAGATACTGCCAAATGTCCCTACCTAACAAAGCACTCCATCCTGTCTTCAGACTTCTCTTCCAGGAGATTCTTTAGCTTCCCTTATTCTCTTAGCCTCAGCACTGAAGCCTTTTAAAAATTAATCTCATTTAGTGTCCCAGCGGAAGCCCCTGATTTTCCCCTTTCACTACATCATTGTCATCTTATGGCCAAGAACCCCAGAAGAAACCTTATTTTTATTCTTAGGGGTCTCTTCCAGTTCTGAAAACTCCTTGGAGCTGAAATTCTTCTTCAGCCTTTCTTCTATTTCAATTTCACTTATTCTCATTTACACTATGCCCTCTCCAGCCTCTCCTCAGTTTTCATAAATCCTCTCCTTTTCCCAGGCCTACCTCACATTTTTCTTTCTCTAAACCATTTCACTTTCCCTTACAGCTTTTTCTGCATCCCCCCTCACTATATAGATGCAGAGAAACTGGTTTTTACTCCACTGCAAGCCTGGCAACCAAGTGACTCTCAGGCCCATTCAGTTCAGCTGAGCTCCATCATTGTTTGGCATGGCCACTCCTCTTCCGTTCCATAATAAAAGAAGTCAGGGAGCTAGGCCATAGCCTACAGAAACTATTATCTGCTATACATTCTCTGTCTTTGCTGAAAAGGAACTCTAAGAAACCTAAATAGACAGTTTGAGCTGGCACTGTGTGAGGGCAAAAGGTAGAGTGAGATTTATGTCTATATAATAACAACTGGGGCAACGGTGAAACCAAGAATAAAAAAAAAAATCCTACTGTAATGTCCTAACATCCTGGATCACTCAAAAACTGCAATGTAGCAACATAACAGATGCTGAGAAGGCACAAAATATTCAAACACTTCTTTTTTGATGTTATAAAGGACACATTTATCATTGTTTGTCACTGAATGTATTCATAGCAAACTCAGCCATGTGAAATGTATTTTCAAATAACGAAGTCTTGCAGTGGAGTTCCCAGTGAAAGGTGGGAAAAGCAGATAGAGGAAAAACAACATTGGAAATGTGCATGACTTATGCCATTTAGAGGCTCACCCCAAGGGCATGGCAGGTATAATTTTCTGGTTTGATCTAATACTGAAGGGCTGGCAACAAAGGAGGGCTGCAAACAACCTCAGTGGTGGCCATCACGTGAGCATGCATGTTTGCTTCTTCAGGTTTATTCATAGTCTACCTGAGAACTGAACTATGGTCACCTAGTAGTGCCAGGAGGTGGTACCAGATGATCTATACAAATACTGATAGTCTGCCTGGTTGCATGGAATAACAGTTTGTTGTTTTACAGGTTTACTTCTATAAATTGTGTGGCTGAGTAAACAGTACTTAGCTTTAGAAAAGTTGGGATGGTCAATAACCTTGTTGTTGCAAAAGAGAGATAGCAAAGCTGTAAAGGTTGCACTAATTACTCTTGCTATATTCCAGCTCATTTCAGAAGACTGCACACCAGAAGGTAACAAGTTTCTGTCCCACTAAGCTCACCAGAGTACAGCCAAGGTCTAAGTGTCAATGAGTATGCCTAAGGAAACAAGAAAAGGGTGGGAAATGCACTTAAACCAGAAACTGATATCAAGTTCTGTCACAAATGTTACATGACTCCGGAAACATTTTTGCCTTCACAACATTCAGAGTAAGACATACCTATATCAGAGATTGTGAAGATAGCATTTCTGGACTTCCTCCTTATATGGGAACCAATACAATTGCAAGGCTTGAAGACACAACTAAAATGTAATAGTTCTTAAATGGCTAAAACTTGTGTTACTGCTGTTTTCAGTCTGTTGGGTCCAGTATGTGTTCCTTTTTCCTCATTCATTTTCTCATCCCTCAAAAATTAATCATTAGATTGCAAAAAAAAAAAAAAAAAAAAAATCAAACCCAAACAGACAAGCTTTTGAACACTCAGAGGCCTTCAACAGGTCCAAAATAGATGTGGCAGACCTAAATAAAATTAGCTGAGCTAAATACAACTAG